TTGCTTTGTAACCCCATTGCTTTGCTTTGCATTGCCATCGCATTGCTATCGCACTGCTGTCGCATTGCTCAGCATCGCTTCGCACTGCTTTGCCCACAGAGACTGCACGACATGGATTGCACCACCTAGACTGCTCGAAGGGACGGGAGAGGCCGTCACGTGTGACACCTCGTGTCTCCAGGCTTGGGAGCCGTGGTGAGGATGATGCGGACTATGAGGGTGATGGGGGTGACGACGATGGTGATGATGATGATGATGGTGCTGATGCTGATGATGACGATGACGATGATGATGATGCCGATGTAACATTTTGCGGATGATGATGCTGATGATAATGATGATCATGCTGATGGTGAGGATGATGAGGATAAGGATTATGATGATGATGATGCTAATGATGATGAAGATGATACTGATGCTGATGTTGATGATGATGGCGATGATTGTGCTGGTGATGGTGACGAGGTGGTGATGATGCTGCTGCTGATGATGACGATGGCGACGATGACAATGATGCTGACGAGGACGATGACGATGGCAATGACGACGACCACGACAGCGTCGGCGGTGGCGTCGACGACGACGACGATGAAGATGACGATGACCGTGGTGATAATCGTGTTTATGATGATATTGATGATTCTATTGGCTATGTCGATGATTATGCTGGTGATGGTGATGATATGGTGATGATGATGATGCTGATGCTGATGCTGATGATGATGATGATGCTGATGCTGATGCTGATGCTGATGCTGATGCTGATGCTGATGCTGCTGCTGATGATGATGATGATGATGATGGTGGTGGTGGTGATGATGATGAGGAGGAGGAGTTGGAGGAGGAGGAGGAGCAGGAGGAGGATGAGGAAGATGCAACTCGTGTTGGCCGTCTTTGGGCAGGGCTGTCTTGGCTTCCTGTGAGGCAGACTGGGGGGTCCATTGGGGCCATCTTGGACCTTCGTGGGGCCATCTTACGCTGGTTTGGCGCTCTCTTGGGCCGTCGTGGGGCCCTCTTGGCCGTGTGATGGGTGTCTGGGGGCCGTCGTGGGGCCATCTTGGCGCCGTCTTGGGCTGTCGAATGGCCTTCTGAGGCCGTCTTGGGTCCCACGGGACGCCCTCCTAGGCCGTCTTGGGGCCGTCTTGGATGCCTATTGGGAAATCGTGGAGTCCTCCTGGGCCGTCTTGAGCTGACGGTAGCCCGCAAAGGTGAGAATGCGACACTCATTCAAAAGCCCAAGAATAATTCAATGACTGCGGTTTCTTCGGACCCTGTTGGAGGCCCTCTTGTGGCCATTCTGGGCCCTCTTTGAGGCATCTTGGGCCGTCTTGAACCCATGTTCGGCCGCCTTGGGGTCATCTTGGGCCGTCTTCCAGGCATCTTGGGCCATTTGGGTGTCCTTGTTTGCCTGCGAGGGCCATCTTGGAAGCTCGGGACACCCCCTGCCCCTTCCACACGTGGAGGACCTTTCCCATGATGGGCACGGTGGACAAGGTGCCCCAGCCCCAGCACGCGGCGCCGCAAGCGCCGCACCAGCGTCCTCCAGCAGACAACTCGCCCCAACCTCTGGGCGAAACTACCACCGCCACCAGCACGCCGCTTCCCGTAGGTAGCGTCGCCCCCAGCTCGCCGCCGCCGACACGTCACCCGAAGTTCACTTCGAGCGCCACGACCGCCATGGCATCCGCCTGCACCCGGGCACCCGGCCCCCGCCGCCCGCGCCTGGTAGGCGTGCTCGCCATCTTGGACAAGGTGTCGATACTTTGAGCCAAATTGCTTGAGTCAAAATGGCTTTGGCCAAAAATGACCACGGACGACATATAACATAAGGTGCACAACATATATTCTTCTTTCTAAGAGAAGAGTAGACGCGACCACCCCCAGAGTCAACGGGCCCCCTTTTCGTATTGCAATTTGCATATGATTCTGTCCCATCGTCCATCCTAAATATGAATCCGTACTATCCCAGCCAAACCGGTATCACTCCCCCCCGCCATCCTCTGCAACAATATACTATGAAATTTTTTTTTTTTTTTTTTTTTTTTTTTTTTTTTTTTTTTTTTTTTTTTTTTTTTTTTTTTTTTTTTTTTCTTTCTCTCTCTCTCTCTCTATATATATATATTCAAGAATCCCTTGCAAAGAATACCACAAAGTCATCACGCGCGCGTCCATGTCAAACTCGTACCAAACACAGTGTGTTTGCAAGCATGCCAGCATAACAACCTAAAACACCCGAGGGTTTTGCAACACAAATTTTGTAATTTTCCTTTCCGCACGCTCATGTTAAAATCATGGAAACACCATCGTATTCTTATGAATTCTGCCAAATCCAGCGCTTTCCTGTTACCGTGCGGTGCACCCGGGATACTCCTGTCATGCGCCGAGGGCGCGAATCCCTTGCAACAAATACCACGTGGGCCACATGCTCGTACCGCCGCGCGCATGTTCAGCCTGACGGATTTGTTGAACTTCCGCGCGCGCGGATTTCTTTCTCAACCTTGTCAGCATCACCGCGATCACCTGCCTCATCGACAGATGGACATCGTCATCGTCATCGTCAACGTGTTTGCCATCATTGGCGCCGTTATGGTTCGTGCCGTCGCCCTCTTGAACATCGTCGTCGCTGGTGCCACCTTCGTCATTGTCGCAGACGTTGCCGACGTCATCTTGTCATCGCGCACGTCCGAGTATAGTCGATATGCTCACGTTCATCATCGACTCACGGAGACCAGCATCGGCAGTGAAGCTGTTATCATCGATGTCGTCATCATTGGCGCCGCCGTCCACCGCATCGTGAGTTTCGCCAAACAAGTTGCGGGTGGGAGGGTGGGATGTTTGCGCGAGCGATGGAGGTGGTCAAGCGCGGTGCAAGGTAGTCAATTGCACCGCATAGATCGCACCATTTAGATTGCACTACATTGCTTGCGCACCATAGATACGCACAGCTTACACCAAGTAGATGGTTTTTTATTTTTATTATATATATATATATATGTATATATGTATTTATAATATATATTATATATATATATATATATATTATATATATTGACCTCGTATCGTTCGCACCATATGCTGCACCGCAACATAGATTGCACCGCATAGATTGTACCACGCATATAGCACAACATAGATTCCCCTTTCTGAAAGACTAATAGATTCTACCCCCCCCCGGACTTATCGGCCCCCCCGCGCGGTCTGTAAATTACATACGATTCTGACCACATGTCCATCCTAAATATGAATTCATACTATCCCAGCCAAGCCGGTATCCCCCCCCCCTGCGGTTCCCTTGCAAAAGACATTATGCGGTGACATTTTTTGTTCTAACATAGCACTTTTTCGCGAATCCCTTGCAACAAATGGGACGAAGTGCGCACGCGCGCGTCGTCGCGCGCGCATGCCGAAATCCTTCAAAAACCTTCGGTGCCGGAAGGATTTCGCAATCGAGTTTCCGAAAAACATACAAAAACACATGGTTGCGCAACACGGATTTGCTAAAAAAACTTCCGCGTGAGGTCTTGCGAAATCTTAAGAAAACCATGGGTTTTCCAAGATTTTCGCAAAATGCTACCAAACGGGCTTCGCGCGCGCGCATGTCGAAATCTGTCGAACGCCCTTGCGCGTGTGCCGTCGCGAGAATCCTCTGCAAAAAACGGGACGAAGTGCAGACGCGCGCGTCGTCGCGGGCGTATGCCGAAATCCTTCAAAAACCATCGGTTCCAGAAGGATTTCAAAATCGTGGGTCAAAAAATTTCCTACAAGAACCCAAGGTTTCGCAACACGGATTTTTAACAAAAGCGTGCGCGCGCGCTCTTGTGTCGTCGTCGTCGTCGTCGTCCTCCCTCCTCCCTCGTCGTCGTCGTCGTCGTCGTCGTCGCCGTCGTCGTCTTCTGTCTTTCCTCGTCGTCGTTGTCGTCGTCTTGGCGTCGTCGTCGTTTCCGTCGTCGTTGTCGCCGTGGTCGTCCTTCCTCCCTCGTTGTCTTCGTCGGCGTCTCGTCGTTGTCCCTCCTATTTCGTCGTCGTCGTCGTCGTCGTCGTCGTCGTGGTCTTCACTCCTCCCTCGTCGTTATCCTCCTCCCTCGTCGTCGTCGTCCGTCGTCGGCGTCTCGTCGTCGTCCTTCATTTCGTCGCCGTCGTCGTCGTCTTCGTCGTCGTTGTCATCGTCGTCGTCTTCCCTCCTCCCTCGTCGTTGTCGTCGTCGGCGTCGCCGTCCTTCCTCCTTCTTCGTCGTTGGCGTCGTCGCCGTCTTCCCTCCTCCATCGTCGTTGTCGTCGTTGTCGCCGTCGTCGTTTTTTCTCCTCCCTCGTCGTCGTCTCCGTTGGCGACGTCGTCGTCGTCTTCGTCGTCGTCGTCGGCGTCGTTGTCGTCGTCGTCGGTGTCGTCGTCGTCGTTGTCGCCGTCGAAAACATTGGAGACGTCGTCGGTGTCGTCGCAGTCGCTGTCGGCGGCGCCGTCGTCGTCGATGTCGCTGTCGTCGTCGGCATCGGTGTCGTGGCCAAGTGCCATGTGGTACCTACCGTCACGGTCTTGTCTGAAGAGGTCTTGCGACCAAGTTGCGGGTGGGAGGGTGGGATGTTTGCACGAGCAGTGGAGAGGACAGCTTCAAGACGGTCAAGATTGGCTGCACCCCATAGATGGTGCCAACCAGACTGCGCCACATAGCTTGCGCACCCTGTATTGAGCCGCGTATATGACACCACATAGAGTGCACAACATACATTGCGCCACCTAGTTTGCACGCCATATATTGCATGATACTGATAGCACAAGACTTGAAACACAGTGTTTGGGTTCCACTATAGTTACAACTACATATATATATGTATGTATATGCCCGAGGAGCCATATGTGTACCGTGCACAGGCGAGGTAAAGTGATCTAAGCACATGTGTAGAGCAATATATATATATATATATATATATATATATATATAAGTACGTAGGGATCAGTAAATGTGCGCTCCGAAAGGGGTTCATGGGGGCACTGCGGACCACCAGGTGGCCACAAGGAGAAGTTGGACTACAAGTACCGAGGGCCGAACACGGCGACCACTCACTTCTACGTCGGAAGGCTCCGAGGGGGGATGGGGCCGGGCGTGCGATGCAGGTCGCTCGTCCTCCTCCTCCTTCCCTCATCCTCTTCTTCCTTCATGATGGGCTCGGGGGGGGTGCATCGACCCACGCCCATTCATCGCCGATAGGGGCCGACAGCCCGCCCCGCCCAGGAAGACGCGCGGATTTTCCATCGGGGTTTTGGCGCCGATCTGTCGGCGATGCGTCGCCGATTCCAGTCGATGTTCCCCCTCGTGAGCCAGTCCCCCCCTATGCTTCCCCTTTTCGTTCCCCCATGAACCCCGCCAGCGACCTCGCTCGGCCTTGTAAGCATGGGGCAGCCTGCGGGCGTCCCTAGCGAAGTTTGGATTCGTCTTCGCATGCGCGAGCTCTGCGCCCCTCCCTGGCTCCTTCCCTCCTCCTCTCTCTCCTCCTCCTCCTCCTTCTCTTCCTCCTCCTCCTCCTCCTCCCTAGCTCTTTTTCTCCTCCTCCTCCTCCTCCTCCTCCTCCTCGTCTGTGTGAAGTTTTCATCGCTGGCCAGGCACTCCTCTATTGCACGGCACGCTGCGCGGCAGCTTTGCGGTTGCGGTTCGCGGCCCCCGCGCTCGTAGAGGCTGGCTGCTGGCTGTGCGGATGAAGGAGGAGAGAGCCCTTCAGATTTGGTCGAAGGAGCGGGCCGCGCGGGGGCGTCGCAGGCAGCGGCCGAGGGGCGGCCCACCATCGGCGCCGACCGTCGCGTGAGGGGCGGAGGCTGCGCCAGCCGGCAGCAGCAGCAGCCGGCCGCGACGTGGCTGCCAGGCACGCTGCAGGGGCCTCGTGCCGCTCGCGTCAGGGCTGGAGGCGACCGTTCCGCGGACGACTCCCGTGCACCGTGCTGCGCTGGCGTCTGCCGGGGCGCCGTGGACCCTCGACCCAGGAAGGGTACAGTGCGCAGCTGTCTGGGCCTCGGGGCCGACAGGCTATGCACCGTCCCGCGCTGGAGCGGGGCTCCCGCGGGGAGCTCAGACGTGGTGCCCCGACGTGCGACGTCTCGATTTTTTTTGCAACACGGGGTCGCCAGAACTGCCGACCCTGTGCTCAGGGCCGGCTCTGCATGCCGAGTCGTTTTGGACGGTCCCCGTGCCCGGCGAGGGCTCCTCGAGGCAAGAAGCGGCCAAGCACTTTCCGTCAATTTTTGTTCGTCAGGACGCGAGCATGCCTGGGTACGGTGCACGAGTGCCGTCCACGGAGGCCTGCACAGGCCGCTTGCAGATGCAGCGGGCCTGGCTGCGGCAGGCCGTGGTGCGGCCAGCTTTGTCAAGAGATAGATAGTGGCGCCTTCAGTACGGCCGCGTGGTCTAAGCACACTGCAGTCCTGAGCGAGGTTTCCGGTTCGGTGGCAGAGCCGTGGGATGCCTTTCTGAGGTGCTGCTGCCGCCAGGGTGGCCGAAAATGTGTGGCCCTCCAGCATTTGCAGGTGCGGGTGCGGGGAGTCTGAATGATCCTCCTCCGCCTCCCTGCCCCTGCCCCTCCCACGCCGTGCTCCTGCTCATGCTGCTGCTGCTGATGCTGCTGCTGCTCCTGGTCCAGGGTGCTCCCGTTCCTCCTCGTGCTTGCCCTCTGCGAATCCAGAGGCCCATTGCAATATTGTAGCACTTTCGCAGTTTGGCGATCATGATTTCCATTGAGATAGATGCCTGCACCAAGGACTGCATGGCCGGCTGGCCAGCTGGTGGCTGGGCCGCTGGCTGGTGCGCTAGTTGTTTGGTTCGCTGGCTGTTGGCTGGTTGGCTCGCTTGCCAGCTCCAGGCGTCGCGAAAAACAAGTGCAAAGGGCGTCCTTGCACGACGTCAGCGTTCGGGGGCCGTTTTTGTTGCCCCTGGGGCCTGCAGCAAGCACGCGGCCCGCGGCGCAAATTCGAAGCCGCCCCTGGGGACGGGGCCGAGAGCTCGGGGGGCACGCGGCGGGAACAAAGACATGGCGCTCTCCACATCTGGGTGGCCTGCCAGCCGCTTTCCGATGCTGCCTGGCTGCTTCGTCTCCCGCGCCACCACAGACCAGCAATCGGCATCACGAAACACAGGCCGTCTACTTGGAACGGTCGCGCGAGGCCAGGCGGTCATGGTGCCGTATTCGTCAGCAGCATGGAAGCCTGGCGGCGCCATGGTGGCCCCACCGCAGTGTCAACGTGGCTCTGCTGCGTGACCACGGCGCCCACATGTATACAGCACTGCGTTCTCATGGCCTCAGCGCGATATCATTGCGGTATCTCGGAAGATCGTCCACGATCAGCCATGGGACCATCACAGCACCGTCGCGACACCATGCGCCATCGAGTCGTCATCACCTCACCACGGAGTCGCCATCACGCTGCACATATGGACTTGACTAGGCGCGATCACGGCGCCCGCAGTCCGCGTCCTCCGTCTTCTCTTCCTGGATGGGGAGGTTCGACAACCACTATCCCACTGCTCTTTCCCCGTCTCCTCCTTTTTCTCCTTCTCCTCCCTCTGCACTTTCGCCTCAGCCTTCCCTTGCCGTAGTAGTTTCCTGTACTTTTTGATGGGCGCCTCGTCCATTGGGTACCTTCCAAGCTTTTGGAGCGGCTCTCTCCTAATCTTTCCCTCTGTCCTCTTCCTCCCCTTCCTCCTCCTCCCTTCCCCTCCCGGAAATAGGGGAGGTACGAAAACGTCAAGCACAAG